GTATTATTATCTGAAAACTCTTGTGATGAAATTGATGCTGTCCAACCTTGTCTGACAACTGAAAACACTTTAGACGATCAAATAGATCAAGTGCAAGAAAGTATTTCCACAATTCAGCTAGTAGACATATCTTCGACTATCCCAGAGGAACTCAGTCATACAGTTCAAGAATTCGAAAATACAATTAAAGAAAAGATTATATGTCATAAGACAAAGAAAATCAAAGTTTTAGACACTAAAAAAGATGCTGTTAATGCATTTAAAGATGTCAGACCATTTACAGAGCAGGAATTGGCCTCTTTATATTACAATCAGGAGCTAACATTAGTAGATGCTTTTGTTACTGAATTTACGGAAGCACAATTAAGATGTGCATTGCTAAAACAGCAGCATAAATTATACGACTTGCTGATGAGCTATCTGAGAGTGCGAAACCATCTGGTCTCAAATTCTTACGAGTTGGAGCGTCTGAAGAAGAGTTGTCGAGAGACGCAGAAGCAGCTTTGGTGCCTAGAGAAGACATCGGAGACAGAAAATGGCGAGTGTCAAGATGGCAATCCCGTCACTGCTACTTATGAGTATTCAGTTGCTCATTTCAATCAGCAGACTCTAGTAGCACTCTCCAGAACACTATCTGCCATTAAGGACACGCTACATGATAGCCAAACATTGTACTGTTATGAAGCTGAGTCATTGCGTCTGCAAATCGAACATTACGTACAGAGAGTCGCTACAAGCTTCAACGTAAGTTGTTTTCCATCGAAAACAAAACTTAAATCAAAATTAAAAACTTCTCAATATTTCTGAGATTCAGCTAAACTATGTATGCGGCCTGAACTAATAGCGTTTTCTCTTGCACTAGTACACATCGAGTGCATGTAAAGCCATTGTACACAAATTGACATAAAGATGTATGTTTAATACACCTTTATATAAAAATTGATTAAACCAAATCCTTATTTTATTGTGCTGTTAAGTAAAATCTGTATTTTATAATTCGAAATATTTGAATTTCTACACGATTTAAATCAGTGTACAATAGCTTTAATATGCACTCAGTGTGTACTAGTGCAGAGCCAAGGGAAAATAGTTAAAAAGTTAAAAAGATAAGCCATATATTAAAGTAATATGTGAAGAATTAATCTTACAATCTACACGTACATAAATTGATTCTTTACACAGCTCAAATCTTTTTTCTACTTTCAGGAGTTTGCTAATCTTTCGCAAATCGCTTCAGCAAATCTTTTACCAGAGCAATCACCATCCCAAACTGCTCCCCAATTGATCGAACTCAGAATGTGCATAACTATCCTGTTCAACTTCCAGCGTCGAATTCTCAAAGATGGCAAATTCGTCACAGACACCAGAGAATGGTTGTCAAAGCTGATAGCGGTGCTCTTGAGGGTTGCAACCTGGCAGGATCATTTATTTCTGCTGAACCATATACTGCGATGTCCTGGTGGTGTGATGAACTGGGCCAAGTCTTTCGTACAAGTGCCAGTACCAAAAATCTCGGGATTGAGTTCCTCACCATTTAATGATCTGTATCTTGATCATATGATTGCCACCCTTGCGGTAATTTTGTTGCCAATCAAGGATCGAGATAAATTCCTGGAACAGGTAAAAGCAAGAATAAAATATTACTTGTTTTAAGAAATCAGCATTTTAACTTCTTTAATTCTTATATTCTTAACTACATTTACTATGCAGGTACAAGTATCCTTGCAGGACACCACAAATAATCCAGGGGATACAGTATGGGTAATGTTAGATGAAGAGGGTGAAGAGGACGAAGATATCGCCAATGTTGGCGCCATTCTCTTTGAGAGTGATCTGATTTCTCTTCTTCATCAGATACCATTTGACAAGCTCTTCGAGCAGGTGTTGTTCATTCAGCGCCAAAATGACAAATATGAGCAGGAAGAGAAGGCCATCACAGATCATCACATGTTACGTCTCTTCGCGTTTTATAGCATACTCGTCAAACTTTTGAAGCAAGGTCTGAAGTCGTATGATTCGCCAAGATATAGACAATTAGCGAAAAGACTCAGCGCGTTGATCAGAGATGTTGTTCAGTACGGCAGCGATCAGTGGGAAGCTTTTGACAAGAGCCAAGTATGTAAAATTAGAATATATGTATTTGCAGAATTCTGCAGATTTATATTATAGATTTATATTAATCAAACAATCACAAAGATATACGTCATATACTTCTTTTGTTATTAATTTTATTTCAATTTATTAAGAACGTAAATGAATATATGAATATATGAATATATTATATAGAGTTGAATATATTATAGTTTCTCTTACAAATTTATAATTTCTAACATATTTTGTTTTAAATGTCAATTTTAATACAAACTATAGAAATCAATGCCTTAAATGGTCTAGTTTAGGGCTCGGTAAGATTTACACTTCTCGGCCGATTTTCGATCCGCCTTTCACTATTCCTTTCTCCCCGCGCGCAGTCGAACTCCGTTTAGGAGCGTATAACGTTCTCACGTAGACGTGAGCACTCGCTTTGGGCGCGCTATAAACTTCATTCTATCTTTTTTTTTTCGCTCATTATATAATTAAGACAGAATGAAGCAACATGCATAAGCGTGTGCAAATACATTTCAAAGCAAATACATTTCATGAATTTTCAAAGCAAATACATTTCATGAATTTTCAATAGTTTTCCATATCATCCTTGAGGTACTATTGTTGACACGTTTTTTTTAAGTGGTATCCCTAGTAGGCCTATTCACTGATAAAAATGATGAATTGTACGACCAAGTAATTAAACACAAACGGAGTAAAATGAAAAATACTTATTCTGATTTTCGGAATCTTTTATTGGCGAGAAATGTCGATTTGCATATTACACGTAGCGAACCATATAAGACGAGGCAAAGAATCATCATTCAAGGAAGAATGTCTCTTATTTTTTATAAGCTTCATTTTTGAAAATGATGTCTCACATAAATATGTAGATTCGGACATGGAATGAATCCGAAATCTCGAAACTTAGGGTATGATGCTTTCAACATTTTGTAAAAATCGGCACCAATTTTTTTAATCATTTTAAGTGAAATATCGTTCTGCAAATCACATAATTCATCTTGCAAATCAAGATAGTGCCTTTCAATTGGTGCTGTAAGGGGATTCTCGAAAAGAATTAATTCAGTTCTGAGTTTTTCGAAGCAAGTACACCGTGTATCGAATTCGTCTATAAGAGAGTCTAGAAAATGAATATATTCTTTGAAATTGCAATTATTGTCTTATTCTTCGAAAAGAATTTGGTAAGAAGGAAAAAAGTGAAAAATATTATCATTTAAGTGAGATTTAATGCAATTTTCTTCGCAAAGAATCAACGTGACTAACTAATCGGGAAATATTTTGGTCCGTCCCTTGCAATTTTAAATTAAGAAGCCT